TTCTTTTTATTCCTAGCTTTAAAGTGGATATTAAAGTGATTAATTTTAAGTGATTATTTTTTTTAAATAAGGGGCAGATATAAGAATTTTTTCTTCTTTCTGCACTCTTTTCATTCAATGTTTTCTTTTTCATGATTTTTTTAAATTTTGTTTCTTTTAAACAAATGAATTAAATTAAATAAAATGTTAAATGCCTTCAAACACCTGCTAAGTTCATGGCATAAACCAACAGACGTGTTCCCGTTTTTTGTATTTTTTTCATTTTTTCATTTTTCATTTACCCTTTATTTATACAGGTAGTCTCATTGAGCCACAAGAACTCATTTTCAAGAGAGACCTATTTAGGGAGCAGATGGGGGGTTAAGGGCCTTGCTCATGGTCCCAGAGTGGGGCGAATGAGGGTGGGGGCAAGTGTGGGTGCTTCACCTACCCCACCCACATTTTTGATGTTGTCGGTACCGGGGTGTGAACCGGCAATCTTCCGATCACAGGCCCACCTCTCTAACCTCTGCGCCACCACTCCCCTACTCCCCTATTTTACATCACTTTATAATGTAGCTGTTTTTGTTTTTAATATAATTTTCAAATCATATGTTTTTTTTTTAATTGTTTACTGTTGTACTGATAAATATCTCATGGAGGATAAACTATATCTTGGATGCATGTATCAAGCTGTGAAATCCTTCATTTTCTAGAACTGATAGGGGTTGGTCAAGAATCATGATGAAGTTTAGCAACTTCTCTGTAAACATTTGAGCTCCGTGACTTGAGCGATGTCTTCTTCTTGTTCAATCCGAAGCAAGCAGCCTGATTTGGGGTAGCCGCGCTCAGTCTGTCCCTCCTCGGAGACGGGCAGACTGAGCGGGGCAGATTGGACGCGGCTGGCCGGGGTCGAGTCGCCTCTTTCCGGTGGAGCAAAGACCAGCGCCCCGCTGAAGCCACGGAGCTCGAATGTCCAACGTAAAACTAACTTTACCGCAGTTTAATGTGGTGCTATGGCTCTGCAGACATTGCACGATGCTGTCTTGTTTTGTGGCGTTTCTAGTGTAAAAAACTTACACAAAGCGGACATGTGTAGATGAAAAGTTTGTTAGCTGTTAGCCACAGTGCTGCTAACTCAGTCCTTACGTTGTAGCTGGCTGCAAACTATTAAATGAATTTCCTGAATGTGAGGCGGGTCTTATTACTCTGGATTCATGAGACACGCCACCGTTCAGGAAATCCATTCCGTAGTTTGAAACCAACATGCATCATGGATCGGAAATATCGGCAGGTGGATCGGAAAAATCAGATACGTAAATTATGCTGGTATCGGAGGTCGATACAGATACTGGGTCGGATCGGCCCCATCCCTGTTAGTAACACTGATATAGGGCGGTTGTGGCTGAGTGGTTAGAGCAGTCGTCCTCCAACGCAAGAGTTGGGATTCGAATCCACCAGCAGTCACATGCCAGTGTCCATGGGCAAGACACTGAACCCCTCGTTGCCTCTGATGTGTGTCCCATCAGTGTATGAATGCGATCTAAAGCACTGATTAGTCTCTTTAAAATGATTTGTTCAATTAGCTTTGTAGACATCGAGTAGAGTGCTGTATGAATGGGTAAATGAGGACACAGATTGTAGTGTAAAGCGTTTTGAGTACCTTGAAATAAGCTAGAAAGGCGCTATATACAGTGGGGAGAACAAGTATTTGATAAGACTGTTGATTTTTCAGGTTTTCCCACTTGCAAAGCTTGTAGATGACTGTAATTTTTATCATAGGTACTCTTCAACTGTGAGTGATGGAATCTAAAACAAAAATCCAGAAAAATACAATGTATGATTTTTAGATAATTAATTTCCATTTTATTGTGTGAAATAAGTATTTGATCATCTATCAACCAGTAAGAATTTTGGCTCTCACAGACATGTTAGTTCTTCTTTAAGAAGCCCTCCTGTTCTCCACTCATTACCTGTATTAACTGCACCTGTTTGGACTCGTGACCTGTATAAAAGACACCTGTCCACACACTCAATCAATCAGACTCCAGCATCTCCACAATGCCCAAGACCAGAGAGCTGTGTAAGGACATCAGGGATAAAATTGTAGACCTGCAAAAGGCTGGGATGGCGCAATTATTAGAAAATGGAAGAAATACAAAATAACAGAAAATCTCCCTCGGTCTGGGGCACCATGCAAGATCTCACCTCGTGGAGCATCATTGATCTTGAGGAAGGTGAGGAATGAGCCCAGAACTACACGGCAGGACCTGGTCAATGACCTGAACAGAGCTGGGACCACAGTCTCAAAGAAAACAATCAGTAACACTCTACGCCGTCAAGGATTAAAATCCTGCAGTGCACGCAAGGTGCCCTTCCTCAAGCCAACGCATGTCAAAGCCCGTCTGAAGTTTGCAAATGACCATCTGAATGATCCAGAGGAGGAATGAGAGAAGGTCATGTGGTCTGATGAGACAAAAATAGAACTTTTTGGTTTAAACTCCACTCGTCATGTTTGGAGGAAGAAGAATGATGAGTACAACCCCAAGAACACCATCCCAACCATGAAGCATGGCGGTGGAAACATCATTCTTTGGGGATGCTTTTCTGCAAAGGGGACAGGACGACTGCACCATATTGTGGGAAGGATGGATGGGGCCATGTATCGTGAGATTTTGGCCAACAACCTCCTTCCCTCAGTAAGAGCACTGATGATGGGTCGTGGCTGGGTCTTCCAGCATGATAATGACCCAAAACACACAGCCAGGGCAACTAAAGAGTGGCTCCGTAGGAAACATCTTAAGGTCCTGGAGTGGCCTAGCCAGTCTCCAGACCTGAATCCCATAGAAAATCTTTGGAGGGAGCTTAAAGTACGTGTGGCCCAGCGACAGCCCTGAAACCTGAAGGCTCTGGAGGAGATTTGTATGGAGGAGTGGGCCAAAATCCCTGCTGCAGTGTGTGCAAACCTGGTCAAGAACTACAGGAAACGTCTGATCTCTGTAATTGCAAACAAAGGTTTCTGTACCAAATATTAAGTTTCATTTTTCTGGTGTATCAAATACTTATTTCACACAATAAAATGGAAATTAATTATTTAAAAATCATACATTGTATTTTCTGGATTTTTGTTTTAGATTCCATCACTCACAGTTGAAGAGTACCTATGATAAAAATTACTGTCATCTACAAGCTTTGCAAGTGGGAAAACCTGAAAAATCAACAGTCTATCAAATACTTGTTCTCCCCACTGTAAGCACATTCCATTTACCATATATTTGTCGCTTAGTTTTATTGATCTGGATAAAGTTTTACAAGGCAATCACCTAAGCTAGGTTATTTAAACGTTAGTTTGCTAACTTGAGAGGCACATAGCTAATGACAAGTGGGTTGGAGGATTGTAGATAATTTATTATTGTTGATTTATTTAATACTTTATACCCCTATATGCTTTAAACTCCTCTCCTCCTGACTGTTTGTGCCTATGCGCCAAATGCCAGTTCTGCGTATCCGGCCTTCTTGGCGGGGGTGCTGGAAGGTGCACCAGCTGGGAACTACTTTATTCTGCTAGGTGACTTCAGTGCCCACGTAAATAATGACAGTGTAACTTGGAAGGGTGTGATTGGGAGAAACAACATCTCTGATCTGAACTTGAGCAAAAAAAACCATGGCGTCATCATGCTGGGATCTTCAGCTCTCACAAGAGAGGTTCGCAGCCGAGTGTGAAGTAGTTCGGATGAGAATCAGCATCTCCAAATCTGAGGCCATCGTCCTCAGTCAGAAAAGGGTGGATTGTTCTCGTCAGGTTGAGGATGAGATTTTGCCTCAAGTGGAGGAGTTCAAGTATCTTGGGGTTTTGTTCACAAGTGAGGGAGGAATGGAGCATGAGATCAACAGATGGATTGGTGCAGCTCTACAGTATTGTGGACTCTGTGCCAGTCTGTTGTGGTGAAGAGGGAGCTGAGCTGTAAGGCAAAGCTCTCTGTTTACTGGTCAGTCTACATTCCTACCTTCATCTATGGTCACGAACTCTGGGTAGTGACTGAAAGAATCAGATTGTGGATACAGGCAGTTGAAATGAGTTTCCTCCGCAAGGTAGATGGACTCTCCAGAGAGATAGAGATAGGGTGAGAAGTTCAGTTATTCAGGAGAGACTTGGAGTAGAACCACTGCTCTACCACATCGAAAGGAGCCAGTTGGGGTGGTTTCGGCATCTGGTAAGGATGCTTCGGGCATATCTGACTGGGAGGAGACCCCAGGGAAGACCCAGGACATGCTGGAGAGACTACATCTCTCAGATGTCCTGGGAACTCCTTGGGGTCCTCCCAGAAGAGCTGGAAGAGGTGGCTGTGAAAAAAAAATGTCTGGCCCTCCTTGCTCAAACTGCAGCCCCCGCGACCCGACTTCAGAATAAGCGTAAGTGTAATGGATGGATATATATTTTTACAGATCAGTTAAAATACACTTACCATGAGCAAAATGTGCTACACACAGTATTGCTCCCTGCTTTGTTTGCGCTGAAAGTCAAAGTGAAACTTAAAATGAATGGCAATAACGTAAAAGTATCTTCATGCACCCTCTCCTGGATACATTGTACAGGCAGTTTCACAGTGCTGCTTCACAGCATTTTAGGGGTGAAAATTAGAAGTGCTCAGATTAGAGATGTTTGAGGATTTTTTTTGTCCTTCGGTCTAAAATCTGATAGATCTGAGCAGGAATTTCAGCATATAGAAGACCCACATATGCTGGTTCTGTCCCAAGCCTGCTGCCTCTCAATGTGGACAATGTTCTGGCAGCTGACTGGATTGTTTAATCTAATATTACTATTTTAAAAATCAGGTAAACTTGATTGTTGTAAACTTACTTTAGTCTTGCTGAGCCGAATGGGGGCTGCAGATTGCTCTTACCCCAAAGGGGGCGAAGCATCACTAAGTCTCTGTAACTTGCTAACAGGCTCTGATGGTCTCTGTGAAAAACCACTGGGTCCTTTTGAGAACTAATTCTAGTTGTAGCTCTGGCCTTACCTGCTTCGTGTCTGACCATTGGTTCCTGACTCCTGTCCTTGAGAACATCAATTAAAACAGGAATGGCTCTTCTGTCCTGCATCTGTCCCAGGCAGTAGGCCAACTCGTGCTTCAGTAAAGCAGAGTCATCACTGAAAGCCTTGCTGATCCATTCTACAGCTTCAGCACCTGCAGGAGGAGAAAAGAGTCATGTCAGCCAAAACCAAATCAAGAACTTCAGAACATGGCCAAGATTCACTGAAGCAATCAGCAGAACTGATTAGACTATGGTCCTTACTGTATCTGCAGTGTTTCCGCTACCATTTTCCGAGGGTGCCCCGCCCTGTCAACAAAAGTGAGCGCCCTGCCTACCAACACACACCCCACCCCACAAAAGACAATTTCCGGCAAAGACGTAGCATTTAACTAGCGGCACACAATACAGACACGCAAGCTAAGAAGCTACAGATGTGGATACCGCTTCTCAGTTTATTTATATAGTGCCAAATGACAACAAAGTTGTCTCAGGGCACTTTACAGGAACATTCACATAAAAGCCAATTAGTAAAGTTCTCTATCTAAGGAATCCAGCAGACAAGTTGAATCTTGGCTTCGTTGCAGTCTCCCATCCTGAGCAAGCACAGTGGCAACCGTGGAAAGGAAAAACTCCATTTAAAAGGAAGAAACCTCCAGCAGAACCAGGCTCAGGACAAGCGGCCATCTGCTTTGACCAGCTGGTTTGAGAGGACAGAAAGGAGAGACAAACGAACACAGAATGGTAGGTCCAGATATAGGTCAAGATTTACTTGAAAGACAAAAAAAAAAAAAAAAAAACGTTAAGGATAGAAAAAATAATTACAAATATAAAACAGGTTGAGCAGAGTAAGTAAAGACAGTAGCAGAGTGAAAAGTGTGGTCAGTTTGTCCTCCAGCAGGCTAAGTCTATAGCAACATAACTAAGGGACAGCTCAGGAAACCCAAGCCAACCCTAACTATAGGATTTATCAAAAAGGAAAGTCTTAAGCCTAGTTTTAAAACTGGATAATGTATCAGCCTCACGGACAGAGATTGGAAGTTGGTTCCACAAGAGAGGAGCCTGATAACTGAAAGATCTGCCTCTCATTCTGTTTTTGTAAATTCTAGGAAGCACAAGTAAACCTGCAGCCTGAGAGCAAAGTGCTCGGTTAGGAAAATATGGAACAATAAGATCTGTAATATAAGATGGAGCCAGGTTGTTGAGAGCTTTGTAGGTTAGAAGTAGGATTTTGAATTCTATTCTGCATTTGACAGGGAGCCAATGGAGAGAAACTAAAACTGGAGAGATATGATCTCTCCTACTAACTCCAGTTAAGACTCTGGCAGCAGCATTTTGGATCAACTGAAAACGTTTTAAAGAAGTATTTGGACACCCAGATAATAAACCATTGCAATAGTCTCGGCTACATGTGACAAATGCATGGACCAGTTTTCCTGCATCGTTTTTAGATAAGATGTTTCTAATTTTAGCGATATTACGTAGATGGAAGAAAGCAGTTCTAGTAACGTTTTTAATGTGGTGGATAAAAGACATGTCCTGATCAAAAATAACACCAAGATTGTTAACATTAGAACTGGAGGCCAGATTAATGTCATCTAAGGAGGGAGAAAGACTGAAAAATTTGTTCCTAAGGTGCTCGGGTCCAAAAACCAAAACCTCAGTCTTGTCTGTGTTCAAAAGGAGAAAATTAAGGGTCATCCAGGTTTTTATGTCTTTAAGACATGCTTGTAGTCTACATAACTAAGTAACACAATACCATTAAAAAAACCTATGCGCACTAAAATAGCGTGGATCACTGACATGTCTCCGTCTCCACCCCCCTCGACAAAAATCTTGAAGCGATGAGTGCCTTGCCAAAGTTAGTGACCATGGGGAAACACTGATTTGTATGCATCAAGTGTGTCGTAATTAGCATTCAGATACATCCAACCAAACTCTATCTAGTCAAGTCAAATCACATTTATTTATATAGCACATTTAAAACAGTAACTGTTTTCAAAGTTGTCAAGTAAATTAGTTTATTGAATGAAATCGTATCTGCCATCATCTTCCAAGTAACAGATTTGTACCCTCTGTAATGTAGAAGAGTTGCTTCTATGCATTGAGTATTATGTGATTGTAACAAGTTGTCCTACATCCTGTGATTAGGGTGAAGTGAAATGATTTATACTGTATAAAATGAAATACTGTGTTGTTCATGATGTGGTCCGGGAGAAGGGAAAAGTGGTGAGTCGACGCCTATAAAAAACAGCCAGCTGTGGTCTGGGAGAAGGAAAAAGCGGTGAATCGACACCTATAAACAGCAGTAAAGAGAGCCAGCTGTGTTCTAGGGAAAGATTACAAAGGGAAAGTGGTGAGTTGACATCTTTAAAACACTTAACACTTTAACACAGCAGTAGAAGGAGCCAGCTGTGCTCTGAATGGCTGATCTAACCAGGAAAACAGTACACATAGAAGCCGAGCAAAGCAGCCGAGCAAAACGGCACGTCGTCAAAAAATGACAGGCTATAAAAAGAAACATGTGTTGGTAACTTGTAAGCTTGTGAGATGAGGAGCAGGAACAATACAGCTCAATACCTTATAAGGGCACAATTTGGAGACAGTCCAACTGTCTACCAGAGGGCCGACCTTCCTAAGAACTAAAGTCCAATCAGAAAATGACACCAAGCTAGTAAAAGGGAGAACTGGGTTGTCCAGTAAAAAGACCTCCTATTTAAACCAAGCCTACTGGCAAGTCGGGATTGAACGGACCGTGGAGTCGAAGGATGAGGACAGTATAGCTTCACCCCCCGAAGCTATTCAGAGGGATCAGGAACAGCTCAAAGAAGACTTCTTTTTCATCAAGATAGGAATATTCTTTTGTTCAGCCGAGCTGACACTAGACCAGATTCCTCAGGATTAGGATTGGTTTCGGGGAGTTAAGGGAGATCTCTTCCAGGGCTCTGGAGGAGATATTTAACGTGCCATTTTCCAAAGAGTCTTCGGGCAGAAATGGTGAGCTACCCCTAACATATTGTCCAAATGCTAAATTTTATATGAAGTAACAGTGTTTCTATAGCTACGAAGAAGGGTTAGATTGAGAGTGTTGTCCTGCTTCCAGCCTACTTGAAAAGTTACCACGTAATCTGTGTGCTGTCAAGGTGGATTGTAACAGGTCTAGCTAAGCTTGGTTGGTTTGCGAGACAGTGATTAGGGGCTTATGGGGGTTTAACATGCTTTGGGGCTCCAAGTGCATGGAGCTCATCGGAGCCAGGAGAGCCTTGCCTCTGTGGACACCCCAGGACCCTGAACGTCTCACTAGACCAATAAGACACTCCCTGGTACCAGGCATGAACTCTCTGTCATTAATCTTTTTAAATGATCAAACATAACCAATTATAATGTGCTGATAATGCTGTACCCCTGCAAATCCCTAATTAAAGCAAAGCATAAAATGTAAAATTCTGGACTATCATTTCTACATATTCGCACTCAAAAAGTTGGAAAGCTTGGTTCAATTTCATCAAAAAAAAGAGGAGGTTTTTAAAGGTTTCGCAGCTTGGATCGAACAACACCCTGCAATCTTGTGCCTAGATTCTAAAAACTACCAGATCTGTAACAATTGCAGTTCTACAATAGGAGGTGAGCGGCCAAAATGCTAGTTTACCCGTGATTAACGATTCAACCCCGGCTACTAGGTTGAACGAGTCACGGGGTGAGACAAGGGTGTGACTCGCAAATGATTGTCGTGAACAGTCTGGGTTAATCACCTCCAACACAGCCTTAAACAGAACTAGCCTAATGTCACCCTGGATAAAGCCCAAGTACTAGATTAGTCCGAAATACCCCTTAGAGGAGAGGCTGCAGTGGGGTTTGTCCATAACTCATGTGGTAACTTCAATGGATAGAAAAACAAAGTGCTTAACAAAAAAGACCACTGGATCAAATATTAATAACAAGATATTACAGCAACATGAATAAAAGCATAAAAACATGAAATATAATGAGAAACAATGAAACACTATATCAAATCACCCTGCGTTAAATGTCAGAGAGTAAAAGCAAAATGGATGAACACAATCATCAACAATGAAATACCAAATGAGATCACACTGTGTTAAATGCCAATGAGTACAGATGTGTCAGTGAGTAAAGATATGTTTTGAGGAGAGATTTAAAAGTAGAGACTGAGGTGGCCTGTCGAATGTTGATGGGCAGATTGCTCCAGAGTTTAGGGCCCATGACTGAAAACGCCCGATCTACTCTGAGCTTCAGCATGGTTTTTGGTATGGCCAAAAGCAGCTGGTCTGATGATCTCAAGACCCGAGAAGGAGTATAAGGATGAAGGAGGTCAGAGAGGTATGAGGGTGCAAGGCCATTAACACACTTAAATGTCAGCAGAAGAATCGTAAAATCAACTCTGACATGCACAGGAAGCCAGTGAAGGGAGGACAGAACTGGAGTAATGTGTTCAAACCTGCGAGTTCCTGTGAGTAGCCGAGCTGCAGCATTTTGGACAAGCTGGAGACGTGAGAGAGAGACCTGACTGACCCCAGCATAAAGCGAGTTACAGTAGTCCAGCCGGGTTGTAATAAATGCATGGACTAATTTTTCAAGGTCGGATCTGGACAGGACGGACTTGAGCTTAACTATCTGCCTTAGCTGAAAGAAGCTTTTTTGAAGAACAGAATTTATCTGCTTATTAAACTTAAAAGTCCGAGTCTAAAACTATCCTGAGATTGGTAACAGACTGTTTTAGATATGGCTGAAGGGAGTCCATGTTTGCAGGATCAGTGACAGTGGCAAAGGTAGGGTTAAACACAATGACCTCAGTCTTCTGATCATTAAAACTCAAAAAGTTCGCAGCCATCCAAGTCTTGATGTCATCAAGACATTTTAACAAAGGGCGAATGGAGGAGGAACTGTTAGGCGTTAACGGCAGATAAATCTGAGAGTCATCAGCATAACAATGAAAGGAAAGACCATGTTTCCTCAGGATAAACCCTAAGGGGAGGAGATACAATAAAAACAGAAGAGGTCCAAGAATGGAGCCTTGCGGGACCCCGTAGGAAAGAGGCACTGAAGTAGATAGAGGCCCTATTTACACAGACACGATGGGGGGAAAAGTAGTTTTTTTTCGTATGTTAATTAGAAGAAAAGATCCGTGTTGACA